AACTTTTTTGAAAGCTTCCTTTGGAAGAATTTGGATATATCAACAAAGTTGAAATGGTAAATTGGCCACCGTAACGATTACAAAAGCTGACGTTTCGAGCGTTAGCCCTTCGTCGGAGTGAAGGGCTAAAGCTCGAAACGTTAGCTTTTGTAATCGTTACGGTGGCCAATTTACCATTTCAACTTTGTTGCTATATCCAAATTATTTCGTCACTCCCACCGACGCAGCCCCAAACAGTTTCTTTCGAAACTAGCAGCCTATATTTCTTTGGAAGATCCGTTCTACAGCTTGGTATCTTATTCCACAGCTTTACTCCGATCCGAGAGAAGGAATTGTTTATCGTCCATTAGGGTTGATACAGAGTTGTAATAAAGAAAAGTTATTGGAAGCACGTTTGCTTTAATAAACAAAGGAATTGCATGGTCATGCCAGCCTGCGAAGTACAGCAGACGAAGGACTCTCTTCTGAAGAATAAGAATATTTTTTTAAGATAAGTCTTGTATGCTTGACCCCAGGCAGTAAGACCATAGGTTAAATATGGGTGGATTAGTGACTTATAGATATTTAATAGTATTTGTCGAGGTACAAAGTGGCGTAGCTTTGCAAGTAGCCCAACATTTTTACTAATTTTTGTAACAATAGAGTCAATGAGGTATTTCCAAGACAGATTCTGATCAATAAGAACACCCAGATATTTTATGTAAACTTTAGACTCGAGACGAACATATTTATTCTTTTCGTTATCAGAAATGCAGAGGTTTGACTGGTAAGCCTGTCGCTTTTGGTAAGGATGAAAAATTACAAAGTTGGATTTTTTCGTGTTAAGAGTTAGTTTGCTGGCTGTCAACCAGATATATAGGTTTTGTAACTCGTTCAGTTGTTGACTATTTCTTTCAGATTTTTGTCCATATACAGAATGTAACTGTCGTCTGCAAAGAGGTAAAACCTAAATTTATTCGAGCATCTGTGGATATCATTGACATATAGCAAGAAAAGTAATGGTCCAAAAATTGATCCTTGAGGAACACCACATCCAACGACAGCTCTATCTGAAATAGGATGGCCAAATTGCGTTATTTGCGTGCGATTTTTAGATATGAAGAAAACCAATCATTAAGAATGGCTGCCTGTAAGGATCGAGAATCGTCCGTCACC